TGTCTGTCGGGGCTGAACTCTTGTTCTGCAAAGAAGGCTGTTCAGTGGCCATTGACACCGGCGCTTCCTACATCACCGGCCCAGCAGGCTCCATATCCGTGCTGATGAGAGCCATCGGGGCAACCGAGCTGGCAGAAGGAGGGGTGAGCAAACCCACCGCTCACGCTCAGTCTCTGGTCACTCAGTGGCACATTACAGAATGAGCAGCCGACCTGAAATTGGTTGCGGCTTTGGAAATAGGGCGGGGGGCAGTGGGCACTGGAGATGGAGTTGCACTTGACTCCCAGGGGACCGCAGGAAGCCACGCTCTCCTTGGCTCATCTGTGACCCTCTCTTGTTCCAGATGAGGGGGTTACACTGGCCACTGGATCACCTCCTGCCTGCCTATGACTGAAGTATGTGCCTTACTGGCCAGTCCTACCCTGGGCACAGGTTAGACAGACCTAAGAGCCTTTTCCTTTTTCCCTTTCTTCTGCTGCAGTATATGATTGACTGTGACAAAGTCCCCCAGCTGCCCATCATCTCCTTCCACCTCGGAGGGAAGGCCTACACGCTCAATGGCCCAGCTTACATCCTGAGGGTAAAACTTCTCATCTCTATAATTTATGGCACAAAGGGGTGGCAGGGGAAGGAGCAGCTGCTTCTGACGAAAGCCCACTGTGGGCAGCCAAGAGGACGTAGCGTTTAGCAGCCCATCATCTCAGCAGCTGCTTCCAGCCTCAGTCTTTATCCAGCTCAGAGCTGCCATTTGGGGAAGTATCAGTCTTGCACTTCAGACTCGGGCCCCACAGTAATTTCAGAATCAGAAGGTGCCAAAGCCAGAAGCATTTTCTCCTGAAGCCCACTCATTTTGTGGAGGCACCTGGATAAACCAGGAGTGGCCTCTGAGTCGCAGTTCATCCCAAACCATCCCTGGACACTTCTCATCCTTGTGGCAGGATCTTACAAATAGGGTGAGGGCTGCTGGGGAGTGAGAGTAGAGACTGGTGGAGGGACAGTGTTTCACAGGCAGAACCCAGGGAGGAGGACAAGGACCTGGAGATGGCCAGACAGGGAGTTTGGGGATAGAGTGTGAATCAGATGTCCAGGAGAAGAGGTTGAGGAGGTGAGCAGCAGCTGGGGGAGGCAGAGGTATGGGAGAGCTTAGCAGGGTCCCTCATAACCACCCAGAGCAGGAGACTCTCCTGCTGATTCCCCACATCACCCCCTGATCCCCTTTTTTGCAGCAATCCCAGTATGGAGAAGACATCTGCAGTGTGGCTTTTGTAGGTCTGGACATCCCGCCCCCCACCGGCCCCTTCTGGATCCTGGGAGCCAGCTTCATTGGGCAGTACTACACCAAATTTGATCGGAGGAACAACCGGATTGGCTTTGCCACTTCCCTCTGACGGCGGGGGGTAGGAGGGAGAT